ATATGGGGTTGCGCCATTGTGTGGGAGATTGTGACGAGACAAGCCAACGATGACGACGTCAGGCGCGAGGAAGATGACGACGTCGGAGAGGAACGATAGCGAGAGAGGGGCCTACAGCCACCGCCAGCCTAGCCGCCACCGGGGACCAGCTTCGTCTAGGGCGATGCTGACATCCTCCCCCTCCCCGACAAGCGTCCCTCAACCCTGCTTCATCGGCTGGCGGGATTGGACTCATAAAAAGAAGGGGAGAGAAAAGGGCAAAGTGAAAGAGAGAGGGGGAAGAACAAGCTAGGGGAACCCTGACATGTAAGGCCCACGCTGATTTAGATTGCCACATCGGACGAAATCAAATCGAACTGACTGTCAAGTTAAGGGACCTAAAATAAACTTATTCCTTTGTTTTCCGTAACACGTATGTGCAACTGGTTCTTCTAGTTTGCAGTTTGAGACAACTCAAAAGCTTAGAAGTCCGAGTACAGCGGAAATAGAAATATGAACAGAGGAACAATCGTATGCAAACATAGGTGATGTTCTTTTCTTTTTTTTTCTTTTGAAGATAAAGATGAGAATAAAGATTAAGTTTTTTTACTAAAACAATATGGTATTAACATATGATTGATTGAGTTTTAATTATTATAAACTTGAAAAATATATTATTATGATATTTTAGAGCAACTTTCATATAGAAAGTTTTCACACGAAGCGCACCGTTTAGCAGTTTGAAAAGTGTGCCACGAAAATTTTTATCCTCACTTTTGTTGGAGAAAAAAAAGACCTATGAAAAGAAAAGTATATGAAATTGTGCAGCCTTGTTGCAGGTGTTAATATCGCATCAGGCACTGGCAGTACAGCTACTCCATACCATGACCGTTTCCCATCTATGATTATCCCATAAATATATGCATGTCAAGTTGACATTTGACAACCCAAGTTTGTTCCCACCCAACGCGGACCAATCAAATAAGGCCATGTTTAATTCGCGAAATGAAAATTTTTAGATGTTACATTGGGCGTTTGATTCGATGTTGGAAGGGGTTTTCGGACACGAATAAAAATACTAATTTCATAACTCGTCTGAAAACCGCGAGACGAATTTATTAAGCCTAATTAATCCGTCATTAGCACATATGGGTTACTGTAGCACTTATGGCTAATTATAGACTAATTAGGCTCAAAAGATTCATCTCGCGATTTCCATACAAACTGTGCAATTAGTTTTTTATTTTATATCTAATGTTCTATGTATGTGTCTAGAGATTCGATGTGATTTTTTTTTAAAAAAATTGGAAACTAAACAAAGCAACAAGACATAAACAAAGGCAGAACAAAAGAAAGCTACGCCAGGTCGCTCGACTCCATGGCTGTGTAAGAGGTCGAATTTATCCTATTTTCTAAAAGAAAGAAGATCAACTTCGACAAGTTGATATGTGGTAGGACCCTAGTTATCAACGGATCAACCCTACACAGATCACCTCGACCAATCGATAAGTCCGACGACACGGCAACACGGCTACTTGTTCCCAGACTGGCACGACGACTGTATAATATATGCGACCGTATAACGTGCGTAATTGATGCTCAATTCGGCGAGGAAACAGAAGAAAAAAAAGAAACAAAAACGAATGGAATCCAGATGGGATACCGATCATGTGCCGGCCGTATAATCTTCAGACTTGAGGACAAACACGACACATGAACACAGAGACGTTAGAGGCACCATGCATCTCCAGGTCCCACGTTTTCAGGAATCCAATCAGGGATGGCCGAGTCAGTCAGTAGTGGAGGTCACATTTTCAGTTTCAGGTTAGAGACTTCATTTTATTTTTCTTTTCATTTTGATTAGTTGAGGTAGTTCAGTGCTCAATTAAGTCATTTACGATTAAATTAACTATGCATCAACTACTACTAATCTATCACCAATTGGAGCTTTGGAAAAGGAGAGGAAATGCTAGTACGATATCGAAGAATGATGTGGTCAGGTTGGTAATGGTTGTCTACAGAAAAGAAAAGAGAAAAGAAAACGAAAAGGGTTGGTGATGGTTTGTCTGTCCCAGCCATGAGCGAGCTGTACACCGCCTAATCACACCTCCAAACACCGGTTTAATTCAATCGTTGTCCCAATCAATCATCCTGGGGGACCTTAATTGCAGCATTGGTTTATGCCTGGATCAATCATCGATCCATTTTCTCTGTATTAGTTGGGAGCTAATCCATCTCATCTTGGGACTTAATTTGGAGCAAAGCTCCAAAAATATATTCCATGCATGGGGTATTATATTATTGAATTGTGCTACTGCAAATGAGGCCATTTTTCTGAGCATGGAACTGAAACCATCATGTAGAAGGGGACCTGGCTCTTTTATGGATACCAATGGTTGATCACATCCTACAGGTGCCCGTGTCACCCCCGGAAATGAGGGATTAGCTTTGCTAATTAGGTGTTGCTTTTGGTGGTACGACATTGTTGCCGTGCATGCAGGTAAGCGTCGTGGAAATGAATGCGCTGAGTTAGTGGCATGCATATGCATATGTACTGCAAAATGCTAGTATATATTTTTGTATATGATGATTGTTCAGTTGCCAACCAACAGTTGGTTGCATAAAGAACAGTACATGATATGACACTGACACGCGAGATTGCAGTTAGATTTTCGGTTCGATGGGTTGTCACAGAGATTCCGTTTAGTTTAGGCGTTGTCAAATGTTCTAGTTCTACCAACATTATTCCCCTTTTATTTGAGGTTTCAATGTCTGAATGTCTGAATGCGTGCTTCAAAATTGCCCATGTTTGTGCCGTTGATTTGGTAGAGGAATTCGCATCGGTTGTGACGAAGAAAACATGGTCGAGATGGTTAAAACGACAATAGGATCCGGTAGCCTTGATCCGTCGGTTTCATAGAAAATGACCACGTGGAACTTAGGGAAATACGGATCATCCTCCAACGTCTAGATCAGCAGCGGCTTTGCATAGGATTCTCATGGCGAAGAGATACCTTCTCTGTTTCTTTACCAGGTGAGAAAAAAATAAAGGTACATAGGATCCGTGCAAGTTTCGGTCATGCATTTGACATGTCAGTGAGCCAGTCTTACATGTACAAAGATGGGTTTTCTGCCTCTAAAAATACAGTTCTATTTCGTCAGTTGCAGAGATAGCAGCCAATCGGACTGCAATAAGACGCCTGGTCGGTTGCCCAACGGGCGGTGAAGTGAATCTCCTCCATGAAAGTATCCATGTGATCGAATAGAAACAGATTTGTCGATTGGGTATTTGGATTCTTTTTAAAGATGATATTTGAACTAGTGACAGTAGTAGATAGAGAGTCGAACCAAATTTGTGAAGTCTAGATGAAACTCAATACAGTTATTACATGCCTATTCTATTTCGCACTCCTGGGGAGTATGGCTGTATGGGTGACTGCCTAGAGTGATGGCGTACATTAGACATCCAATGTTAGAGACTCAGAGGTCACTAGATCAGTACATTGGACGAACAGGTTTCATTAGCAACTTGGTTAGTTGGTCTCCATCCGAACGTGTTGAAATATTACAGTGAAATATCTAAAGTAGTGAAAACACTAATGTTTCTCCAATCCTGATTGAGCCACGTTATCCGTTCACTATGAATATTACATTGGAGTATGCATATGCATGCGTTCTATATAATTCAACAAATATTAAGTTCATTTCCAACGTTAACTTTTAAATCGTATGAATACATATAAAAAATTTACCCCTAAACTACTTTTCATTGATTCGGTTTTTTTTTCAGCCTTGGAGCAACGATGACGCTGCATGTGATGGAGGGAGGACGGAAATTTCGAGCGGTAGAGTCGGGTAAGATTGGCTAAACCTGATTGCGACTTGCTAATACAATATTTCTTGGGTCTCGTCTTCGTTTCCTTCTCTTTGGCCGAGTCACTAACACCAGTGGCGCTAAAGTCTGCAGCTGCAGAGACTATGGCACACTGTCTTGGGTTAAAATATCATGGCACCTAGACACCTGTTTCCAAAGTTAAGATCTTAGGAAGAATCCAAGATGGTTTAGAAAACGCTAATTATAAGAAAAAAAAACCGTTCTTTCTAGAACTCATCTGCTTGTCCTGTGCGATGGATCGAGATGAGATGACGGAGAGTTTCTGATCGATCGATGTGGCCCTGCATTTCTGGTGAACACCAATGGATGCCTGGCAACTCTACTGGAGTGCTTCCAAAATGGTGTTGACAAGAATACGTTGATTAGTTCATGTTTGCTTTCTTAATCGAGATCAGATCACAGAGCTTTCGATCCGTTAGGTACAAAGCATGCTGAGCATAACTCTATGGCCGTCATTTGAACTGAACTTTAAAACTGAACAGACAGTCAGATTTGCAATATATTCAACCATGCCAAGTTATGCTAGCTCTGAATTCCTATTGCTTCTTCAGCTGAAAATAAATCAGATCTCTCTCCTGAGAAATTCAGCTATCAGGGACCTGCAGCATGTAAGGCTGCGTTTGTTCCTTCAGTATGATACGTAAAACGAAAAGCTCATCAACATATAATTGATTAAATATTAATTATAACAAACTTAAAAATTTATTTGATTATTCAAAAAGTTATATAGATTTTTTTAAAATATATTGTTTTATAGTTTAAAAACGTGTTAACAGGAAACGAGAAAATTATACTACGGAGTTGAAAAAAAAGAACATGCACTAAATCCTCCTTATTCCAATATAAATCTAATCGTATGCATTCAAAACTACATTTCAGTTTTTGTATTTTGTAGTTTCTATCAGCATTGGATTCTGCTAAAGTGCTATAAATCGGCAGCCCCCTTCCGATTTCCGCCGTCCATTTCATTTTTACCCAAAGAAACAAAAAAAAGTACAAACAGAAATTCTTAAAAAAAAACCCAGCAAATAACACGTCATTAAACGGAAACTAATCCGTTACATGACGTGGGCCCCACCCAGCCGCGCCAGCCCACCTATTCGTTCGGCTTCTCCCCCGCCCCCGCCGCCCGCCTCGTTCGCTTCTCTCTTCCCCTTCCTTCCATTCCAGCTAGCAACCGCAAGTCCGCAACGCGAGAAACGCAGGCAGCAAAGCAAGCGAACCCAAAGCTGGCCTCGCACTCACACTGACAGCCTTGCTCTCCTCCTCCCCCTATATCTCTCCTCCCTCCCTCGCCGCCTCCTCCCCAATCCTCCAAACCCTAATCCCCCACCTCACTCTCTCTCGATCTCGTGCTCTCCTCCTTTCGCGAGCGCGTTCTTTGGAGGGGAGATGGCGGAGGAGCCACAGCCAGAGGCCGCGCCCGCCGCGGTGGCGGCGACGACCGAGGTGGCGGTGGCGGAGAAGGCGCCCGTGGAGGCGGAGAAGGAGAAGAAGGTGGAGGAGGAGACGCCGGCGGTGGAGGCCGAGGCGAAGGAGGAGAAGAAGGATGAGGCGGCGGCGGCGGCGGCGGCGGGAGGTGATGAGGCCGGGGCGATAGAGGGGACCGGATCGTTCAAGGAGGAGAGCAACCTGGTGGCGGACTTGCCTGACCCGGAGAAGAAGGCGCTCGATGAGTTCAAGCAGCTGATCGCCGCCGCCCTCGCCGCCTGTGAGTTCAATCTGCCTCCCCCTCCGCCGCCTCCCAAGGCGAAGGTTGAAGCCGCCGTTGAGGAGACCAAGGCGGAGGAGACCAAGGCCGAGGAGGAACCCAAGGCTGAGGAGCCGGCCAAGGAGGAGGAGCCCAAGGCCGAGGTGGCGGCGGCGGCGGCGGCGCCGCCGGAGGCAGGAACCGAGGAGCCGAAGGCGGAGGCGTCGTCCGAAGAGGCCAAGACCGAGGAGCCGAAGGCCGAGGCGGCGGCCGACGAGCCGGCCAAGGAGGAGTCCAAAGCTGAGGCGGCGCCGGCTGAGGAAGCCAAGCCGGCCGAGCCGGAGCCGGAGGAGAAGACCGTCGTGGTCACCGAGGAAGAGGCGGCCACCAAGACGGTGGAAGCGATCGAGGAAACCGTCGTGCCCGCTGCTGCTGCGCCTGCTGCCGCCGCCACGGAGGAAGCCGCGGCGCCGGAACCGGAGGTGCAGGCGGCGGCGGCGCCTGAGCCCGTGTTGATCTGGGGCGTGCCCCTGGTAGGCGACGACGAGCGCACCGACACGGTGCTCCTCAAGTTCCTGCGCGCGCGCGAGTTCAAGGTGAAGGAGGCCATGGCGATGCTCAGGTCGGCCGTGCTGTGGCGCAAGCGCTTCGGCATCGAGTCCCTCCTCGACGCCGACCTCGCCCTGCCGGAGCTCGACAGCGTGGTGTTCTACCGCGGCGCCGACCGCGAGGGCCACCCCGTGTGCTACAACGTCTACGGCGAATTCCAGGACAAGGACCTGTACGAGAAGGCATTCGGCGACGAGGAGAAGCGGGAGCGCTTCCTCAAGTGGCGCATCCAGCTGCTGGAGCGCGGCATCCTGTCGCAGCTCGACTTCTCGCCCAGTGGCATCTGCTCCATGGTTCAGGTCACAGACCTCAAGAACTCGCCACCTATGCTCGGCAAGCACCGCGCCGTCACCCGCCAGGCCGTTGCTCTGCTCCAGGACAACTACCCCGAGTTCATCGCCAAGAAGGTACTAATGATTTCACTGCCATTGATTAGTGCTATTTGCGTAGCTATTTCTTTGCAACTGAAGCAATTTTAGAGTAGCTATTTGTGTTTGTAGGATTCAATTCTTAATTAATGCATTTGTAGTTTAACGTTGCAAGTGAATGATTGGGCTAAAACTTTGTTCTTTAGGCAATGTGATAAAGGTTGGAACTTTTAGGGTGTCACTGCTAGCTCTTTTGCACCAATTTTAGTACTGGCCTGAGTTGACTGTTGTCTTTTGGCGTGTGCTTTGTTGTTAATCATAGCGCGAGCTGGGATCTTTTCCTTTTGTTCTATCTTTTTCTGGTACGATCAGATGAGGGAGTTCTGTAAGGCTGTTAATATACCAATTTGTAGTTCATTCCAATAGTTTCAGTTAATGAAATGTGATCAAATGTTTTTGGTTGGGTCATGGTGTGCAGGTGTTCATCAATGTGCCATGGTGGTATCTCGCTGCCAACAAAATGATGAGCCCGTTCCTCACGCAGCGTACCAAGAGCAAGTTCATTTTTGCCAGCCCAGCCAAATCAGCTGAGACCCTCTTCAGGTTTTGCACACAGAAACCATTGAGAATCAATGCTTTTGGTATTTTCGATCTTCCAAGTTTAATTTGCTCATGTATTGCTATCTAAACGCAGATATATCGCACCAGAGCAAGTCCCTGTCCAATTCGGAGGTCTCTTCAAGGAAGATGATCCTGAGTTCACCACCTCAGACGCCGTTACCGAGCTCACTATCAAACCTTCATCGAAAGAAACCGTTGAGATTCCTGTCACTGAGGTTGGTCCTTGTGTACGTGCCAAATTACCTAGAACAATCTTTAGATGCACTGATCGCTGATACTGATTATTTCCCTATATATGAAATTTGCAACCTTTGTAGAATTCCACGATTGGATGGGAGCTCCGGGTGCTTGGATGGGAGGTGAGCTACGGAGCAGAGTTCACTCCTGATGCCGAGGGTGGATACACAGTCATCGTGCAGAAAACGAGGAAGGTGCCTGCAAATGAGGAACCAATCATGAAAGGCAGCTTCAAGGTTGGCGAGCCAGGAAAGATTGTGCTAACGATCAACAACCCTGCATCAAAGAAGAAGAAGCTCCTCTACAGATCCAAGGTCAAGAGCACCAGTGAGTCCGTTTGAGGTTGCAGCTGCCTGATCACCAGATTCACCACAATGGCAGCTGAACTCATTCCCTGATGGAAGAGAAACCTTTTGGTTTTGGTTCTTTAATTTATTGGTTTTGCTGTTTTGGTTCACATTTTGTATTTGTTTAATTAAAAACCAAAGTGAGCTTGTTTTTGTGATAGTTGGAAGGAGAGGGTTGATATGATATAATGACATCGTGATGGTTTGTTGAGGGCAGAGGACAAAAATTGTGGAAGGACTGAAGAATATCTGCTGCTTTGTATATCTGTCTGTACATTGCATCTCTGGATTCTCATGGACATGTTAAATTTAGAAGTACTTGTCATCATTCACCAATCCATGTTACCCTTTATATTTCTCCTCTTAATTTCCTTGTCTCTCAGAATCTGAGGGAATTATATAATCTTGATTTCCATTCTCTAACCTTTTGCTTGCCCATTTCCTGCAAGTAAGGATCAATTGCAAAATGATCATGGTTTCACTTGCAAAATGAGAACTACCCTCCATCCATTTCTTTTCTGTATCTCCTGTTGACTGAAAAGAAAACATGTTTTTTGACTTCTCCCTTTTGTAAATTACTTACTGCCTGACTTGCCTTAAACGAACAAACAGCATGAGGACAAGATGTGCAGGCCAAGCAGGAAAGCGATTAGGCATCTTCCAGGTGTTTGTGCTGCTAATGATGGCCATAAACTAAGCGTGGGTGGAGCAACATCCAGAACCTTGTTCCAAGGCTGTCATCGTGTCCCTCAAAACAATCCGCCAGCGCCAATCAGCCACAGGAGAAACAGCTGTTGCAGATAAACAAGGCAAAAGAACAATGCAGCAGTGCAAGAAACTCTCTCCTCTCCTCCTTTGACCACGACAGCAAAGGAAAGAATAAAAAAAACATAGGGCCAAAAGGCCTCATATCCAGTTTGGCCATGTGCAGTGCAAGGGAGCTTTGAAAAAAATTCCCTTGGAGGACGAGCAGAAGAGAGCTTTCAGCTTTGTGTGTGTGCGCCCGGGCATTCCGGCCAGCCATTTCGACAGGTTTGGTTTTGAGTCTCAAGTGTTGACACCCTGTGTGTTGCCCTCTTGTCTTTGCTTGAACCAATGAGACTGGCTAGAGGCAAAGGTCCCATACCTGCATGGCTGCATATGGCTGTGTTTTTAATGGCGAGAGGAAGAAGAAGAAGACGACCTGATGATTGATGATTAGTGGTGGCAAGGCAATGGCATCGACATGCACCATTTGTCATGTTTGACGTTTGCGTGCCCATTTATTCAGCGGCCACAGGACGTGTCTCCGGTTGTAAGAAAGGTTGCCAGTATCAAGATACTACTAGGTAGCATCGTTTTGCTTAAATAGTATCATATCGTAGAATCATATCGGAATATTATGAGATTTTCTTTTTTTACGTTTAATTAATACTTAAATTAATTGCATATAGCCATTCTATATAAAAAATATAGTAATAATATATGTCATGCAAATATAGACATTTATCAAGAGAAACCACGTTGGTTTTGATATATTTAACTGATTTCTATATAAACTTGAGCATATTTATTTACATTATTTTTAAACCATCTTATTTTAAATAATATTTTGTAGTATCGTAGGGATCGTACAATCGGGATATCACCTAAGATTTCGTAGGATCGTATAGTAATGAATAGTAGGATCGAGATACTATGAAATTTAGGATACTATGTGGGATCGGTATCGTTTTCACATGGTAGAATCGTAGTATCGTAATATACTATTATAATAATCGGGATATTGAAAACCTTGTGTAAGTAGGGACTCGCCCATATGCCAGACAGACAGCACCATGAGTTTATTTCTTCCTCCGTGTCAACCGGCTGACGGCTGGCCTCAACCTCACCTCGCTTGAGGAGTACTTCCTCCTTTCAAAATGTAAAGTGGCCCACTTTACATTTTGAAAATGAAACGGAGTGAGTGCTACTGATAGGAGTTGAGATGAGCACGGTGGAAGCCTCAGTAATTCCGTCCTCGCGCGCGCGCATGTCTGGGTCCCCGCCGGCGGCGGCGGCGGCGGCGGAGATCGCTCTCGCGTCGTGGGCTAATAAATTGGAACGCGACAGAGTTGCAACAAGGCGGTGGGAAGTGCGCATCCATGGGGGCAGTTGGAACGATACTTGGACCAGTGACCAGTCCGGATTGGGCTCGCCGCGGTGCAGGGACCAGCTATAGCTAAGCCAGCGACAATCTGGGGGCCACCGATTAGGCGCCGGTCCACGGCCACGGCCGTCCAGACTGCCGTACGTACACCGGACTCCCCCTCCCGTCCCCGACGAGGACATGGTCGGTGAGACGCTAATAGTAATAACTTTTGAGGTATTTTGTAGTACTACGTTCTCAGTGACAGTGCATTTGAGTAGCGGGTTGATGCGTTTGCCCGTACACGGACACAGCTCGTGCATGCGTGCGTGCGTGCTGCTCGCTCCCAACTGGCGTCCGCGCGGACCGGTCACGCCGCACGCGCAACCGGGGAGACGGACGGACAGAGCGGCAAGGCGGATCTGACACGCGAGCACGCGTGAGGACGGCGCGCGATTAAAACGGCTCCGATTCCTTCCTCCCTCCTGCGTTTTTTTTGGTCGTTCTCCGCTGCTCGTCTCGTCCTCCCGCGCGCGCCGCAGAGGGTATCATGTGGCCGCGGACTCGCGGTCCTCCTAACCGGGCGCCGGGCGCGTGAGGCGACGGGGTCGCGCACGCATCTCGCCTTGGGCTGGGCTGGGCTTCGCTTGCAGCTCGAACGTGTTGGTGTGTGCTGCGGGGGGTTTCGTGACTGAGGTGTCCCTGTCGTTTCTCCAGTTCAGCTACACGACGGATGCCGCGGCTCCACTCGCTGGTGCTGGTCAGTCCAGCCAATGCTTGCAGGATTGCGGCCGTGAATCACGCGCGGCGTATCGGCAATCAAAAGACTCGTACTCCTACTCTGCCACGCTGCCCGCACGCGTACGCGATCCACAGCGCGGTCGGTGGCCTGAGCAGTGTAATCGTGGATGGGATTCCTCCGTAACTTGGCGATGCAGGTAAATTAAACCTGTGTTGGTTGGTGACCCCATATCGTGTGGCTACAAAGCTGTTTGGTTTATGATTTGTGCAGGATTAGGCGTGTCTGGTTTATGCTTCGTGCTGCAGCAGCAGCAGCAGCATCGGTGCTTCGTCAGTTCAACACAATGCCTGACTTGTGCAATGTCCAGAGAGCATATGAGCAGATCCAGTGCTATGTCGTCTAGAGATTAATGTGCTCTAGTACCTTTTTTTCCCCAAGATATGACATGAAAGTCACACAGACTGTTTGCCAGCCGGTCGGCTGCGTGCTTGCATTGCACCACAAACCCGTACTGTTAATTGCTAACAGATGTAAGGTGAGCAGAAGCCAGCAATTGGCAATCTGGCATGACAAAGGAGAGCGTCGAGTTATTTCGGCTGCCATCAAACACAAGAGCTAAAAACACAGCACATGATGAGGATAAGTGAGCCACTTCATTTCAACTATCAGTAGACCAGGTACAACCAGATACATTTGGGTACCCAAATCTGCCAGCCAGACCGCCAACAAGTAGCGTGTTTCGCATTATGCATAGGTGCTAAAGGAGATGTTTTCAGTGCTACTCCTGCTCCCAATTAGGCAACCGCAATTAGGATTAGCACTCCATTTGGCGAGGTATAAAGGCGAGAATATAACAGCTAGGAAATGAAAGTGAATCGTTTTGTACTCCAGCTCCAAAGTTGTACTAGTAGTGAGTGAAGAAAGAAAGCAGGGAAAGGCGAAAACCTAAAGCATACCATGTTTTCGGGAACTGCAAAAGTTCTGTTCGGTGCTCGCTCGCTCTCCAGTTCAACTCTTGCATCCTCACTGCAGATTGATCATCATGACCGATTGTAAATCCTAAATCTCCTGTCGTTAATTATGTACCTGCAGATTTGACAGTACTATATTTTGTGCCAGAGCAACAGAAGTACCACTCATCGACTCAAGAGCTGGGTTAAGTTAGACAGTAAAACAACATTCTGAAACAGGCTGAAAAAAACTGACTCACGATTGCCCGAGAAAGTGAGGAAACAGTTGAAACCTGAAAGCGCTGAATTCTGTATACACAAGTAGTAGTACTGGAGTACTCTACTGAAGATGGGCATGACTTGAAGGCTGAACCTCGGATTCCATTTCATGGCAACGGTTGCAAAACCGATGCCCACTATTTGGGCTATTAACCCTTTTTGGAGCCTTGTATGAGTATACGCGACCAAAGTCACCGAGATTCAGGCCACGTGTCTCGGGGCAACGAGATGCTCTTTCGAAAACCCTTTACAACGTTCGGTGTTCATCCGTTGATTATCCTTGCAACGTTTAAGGTTGCAGAATTAGGATATCCAATGATCTTTTTTTAGATAATGTGGTTGATTAATAAAAGAAGAAGCGACATTAGTCGCTTAATGATGACAGTTCCTGTTGAAGAAAAATAAAGGGTTCTCTGTCCATGGGTGTTAGCAGATTTCACAAGCCAAACATATTACTCTTTATTATCTAAAAAAACAAGCATATTACTCCGGTCATACATAAGTGACATTTTAGATAATGACACAATCATCAATGCACTTGTTTTACAATATAGAACTTATACTACAACAAGTATAGCAAAGTTATAATATTTTGAAAATATTTTTGAGACGAGTCTAACCATATTACTTTTGAATGCTGAATTGAAATATTTAAACAGAAATTGACAATCAAGGTTTAAACATATTGGTTGTACGCATTTCAAAATGTTATTTATTTGTGACCGGAGGGAGTAGTACCCTAAACTGCCGCTACACCTTAATAACATTGCAGAATGCCAGAAAGAAAAAACCCTGAAGATCCAATTCTCACTAAAAGCATCGGAGGACACTTCATATCAATATATCATCACGACTGCCCTTCAGAATGCACACTTTGCTACTTCTTGAATCTTCTTGGTTTAAGCTATGTTGATAGTGTGACAGACGAGAAGAATTGAGTAGGCAGCTGTTTGATGACTCAGTATAGCTTGCACATAACCACGCACTTGGTATCAAAATGTGGGTTGGTACTTGGTTAGATACTACTCCTTGCTCTTCTAGAACCTTGAACGGCTACTGATACAAAATTACAGTCCTAGCACTAGACTACAACATTAACCAAACTGAAGAGGCAGTACATCTCACGTATGCTATATCTAGCCCAGGGCATGAGTGACTTGGGGGAAAACGACTGTAATGCTGGCAATGCGATTTCTACTCTGCATCTATAATGAACTGCATTTCTGAAATGATACTACAACAATAGGCCGCTAAAAGAAGAATAACTTATCAGGAATCCCGTAGCAAGGAGTTATTTGATGGATCCAAGAATACACTAATTTCCTCTGCAAAAAGAAGAAGAATATACTAATTTCAGTTTACTCCTAGAACCAACCACACCAAAAAGATTGACTTCACAAGTTTCTGCATATAGCCAAGGTGATCCAGGTACTCTGAGTTGGGCAAGTAAATTCATCTATTTAATGGCCAGTGTAGAAAGATTTCCATTTTCATATTTTTACCAGAAAGGATATGTTACAAAATTCTCTGAAAAAAAAACTAAAAAAATACCAAAACAAGTGAACGGCACAATCAGAGTGACAGGAACTAGCTATTTCTAACTAATATTTCAACTACCAACTCCTCGTTTTTATTGAATTTACATAGAGATTGTGATGAAGAAACATGGTCGGTACAGAATTTGAGTTTTACCTGATATTCTGCCCTTCGTTAAATTTAAGGATGAAGTCAGACAAAACACTGCTGTCGTTGCAAGAGTCCCTTGTGGATAACCATCTGTCATCAAGCTGAACTTTTACATCCCTGTGCTAGGAGAAAGCATAAGTTCATTTGCTATTAGGAGTGCTACCTACACTTCAAGATAGACTTGATAAAAGAAACTGTAGGTAAGCTCTGCAGCTCAGTAGGGCATTAAACCATCTATATGGCAACAAAGAATGAAGACATTAAGTACTTATAACAATGTAGGACAACCAGACATAAGATTTGAATATTCATGATTACTGAAAAAAGCATACCTCTTCAAGCTGAGAACTTCATAATTTTTCCGCAGGTAATCTGCATGCTTAACTAGAGCATCCTGGGCATAGTCCTTGCCAACAGTTCTAACTGCAGCTGTATTAAGCAAATTTTCCAATGAACCATGTTTCTTTAGAAGTTTCACTGCAGTTTTCCGACCAAAACCAGGAACAAGGTGCTGTATTCCTGGAATACCATCTGCTTCATCACCTATGAAGCACCCTGTGCAGAATAGCTTCGATGCATCAGTTAGCTAGATTTCCTAATAATGATAAAATTAACTTTACATTGTAGGATAATACATAAAATATAGACATATACTCACTGAGGCTCAAATCTGCGGTTGGGTCACACTTGTACTGTGCAACATAATGCCTCAGCGTATAAAAGGACCAACGGCCAATCTCAGGAATGGGCATAACTAACTGAACATCTTCAGATATCAGCTGCTTGAAGTCTTTATCTGGTGAGCCAATGACAACTCTAAAACCTTTCTGTAAAACTTGCTCTGTTAAGGTAGCCACTACATCATCTGCCTCATACCCATCGACTCTGACGACCTGAATTTGCCGTTTGCAGATTTGTTCAGCGTCAGAAACTCAGAGCTCTACCTAAGAAAACGTTGCCGATTTCTCGATTTTAGTAATCTGTATATAAAAGATCTGGTTCACCTACCGGAACATTGCACTCGCGAAGAACATCGATAACGCGCGAATCGGCGCCTGTACCAGGGCCACGAGGTCGGTGCGCCTTGTAGGACGGTAGCAGCCGCCGCCGGTACTCGTTCCCGCCCTCCCCGTCCAAAACCTAACACGAAGCAGAGATAATTTCATAAGTGACTAGCTGAGAGGAGCATGTAAGGACGATTCCTTCGTTGGGGTCTGGGAGTGCGTGCTCACGGCGACGACGGGGTCGCGGAGGCTGACGTGCGCGAAGAAGAGCGCGAGCCAGCGCGCGAAGGCGCCGAGGCTGCGCTGGGATCCGCGGAAGCAGAGAGGGTTGACGTCGAGGAAGAACACCCGAGGTTTCGCGGGCTTCGCGGGGGCGCCGTCCCTGCCCACCAGCTGCTTGCGGGAATGCCTCGCTGGAGGCGGCGGTGGGATGGAGACGGCGAAGGTGGAAGGGGAGGACGACGAGGATACGGAGGCGTACGGGGTCACGCGGAGGCGGAGCGAGCGAGGTCTACGGGGCGCCGCCGCCGCCGCCGATGACGACGACGCGACGACCGGAGCTACCGGCGCCGTGCTCACGGCGGGAGGTGGCATCGCGATGGCGCTCGGTTTGGTGGGAAGCGGAGATGGGGATGTGGATAAAGGGGGCTGAAATAAAAAAATAAAAAAAAGGAGAGATCCAAATATTGCTGGGCTTTTTACTAAACTTCATCTAAGTTATGGGCCAAAAGCCCATTTGCTAATAAGCTCTCAAGGCCATGATGTATTTGGCCCAGTACTGCTTCCTAAATACCTACTTCTTCCGTCCCAAAATATAACTACCTAGTACATGATGAGACATTATCGTAGTACTAGGTAATGTCCCATCACGAATCTGGAGTCCAGATTCGTAGTACTAGATAATGTCCCATCATGTAATAGGTAGCTATATTTTGGAACGGAGAAAGTAGTATAAACAAGGCTGAGTAAGTTGAGTTGAGTGAGAGATGTGCATGTGTGTACAAGGAAGATCACGGCACAGCAGGGATCAAGACATGAGTGAATTTATGTAAATAAGTCCAACAGTGTATTTACAAACAGAAAATAATATGTGAATAAATCTTTTATATATGTGTTCTTAGCAATCTAAAAGTAAAGGCTGAAAAATAAACTTCAATGAGAAAACCCTAAAATCAACTACAAATTTAAGGTTAAAAAAATCAAATTTTGCATGATAAGCATAAGCATAAGCGAAAAGATGAAGCTTTTAGATAAAATGAATAAGTTCTCTCTCTAGGTCCCTCAATTTATCGTCCAATATGATTTTTTTTTGTCCTCGGTCTAGAAAATAGGATACAAAGCATCTTCCAACTTATAAAACTGTACAAACGAGTTTCCTCATCAGTATTGACTCCGGTTTTAGCTAACGTGGCGCATACATGGATCATTTGACTAGTTTTTCGTTGCCACGTGGCATTAACATAGTGTTTGCATGGCAATTCAATGCGGAAAAATAATAAAATATGTGGGGCCCACATATCGGTTACACAAACAAAACAAAAAAACAAGTGGGCCCATGTGGCCACACATGTCATCATCACTACTTCCCTCTTCTCTCTATATTTCTAGTTTTCTTTTCCTTTTTGTTTTTTCTTGCTTCTTCCCCGATGGCATCCGGCGGCTAGCCGTGAGCAGCAAAGAGAAGGGCGGCCAATGGGAGCGCCGCGCCGCCGGAGTGGGAGATGTCACGTGGAGGTCGGTGTTGGTGTCAGCCATGGAGCGCGCAAGCTCGGTGGCAAAGATGAAGCCGTTGTCATCGCGGTCAAAGGCCCTTCCTGTCAACGATGTCATCGCCGCTACCGACCTCCCAACCCCCTCACCAGCCTCGCCAAGAGGAGGTCGAGCGAGTGGATCCGCGACGATTAGGTGTGAATTTTTTGCGCGTGACGTGTGTGAAAATTTCTTTCTAGCAATTTTTCCCTTCATGCATAAATTTCAGGATGATCCGATGATCACAAATCTAAAAGTTTCGAGGGTAAAAAACTTGCGAAAGTTTTCTAGCAATATATGGACCGCCATAAAGTATATGGGTCGAAACCTTTATTCTCATCTCTAACCTACCCCGTCCCAAAAAAAAAAGACTAACCCTAGTATGTGTCCGGATTTGTTTGCTAGGATTGGGTTTTTTATGGGACGGAACAGTAAAAACTTTGCAACCATGTACCTCTACTAGTGAAAGTATTCAGAGGGAGACATATCACGGCGTGACAAAACCGACAAGTATTCATGTACTATCTTTTGAAAATAACTTTATTCTTTTAGACATTGTTATTATCGTTTCCCGGCTTGAATCCAACCAGTAATACGCTGAAATATCCTAGACTTGATTTGTGGTACAGATTCACTGAACCTGGACTAGGTTGTCTGGCTAGCAACAACAGGGAAAGTTCAGTGTATCTATGACCTGTGACAGTGAAGACCAGAAGCTAGACTTCTTTTGATGCTTATGCTTTGCCGGCAAGTCTCTTTTGCCCGTTTTCTGTGGTAAGTAGGAGTACAAAATTCTATTAATGCTTATTTTACGTTACAATTCCATTAATTTTAGTAGCGAAAAAGATTAGTCCTGATAATAAACATTGTTTGATGTAAACCCAGCTGGTACAGTACTGTACTACTGCTACCACCTTTATCCTAAAATATAGAATGAGACTCACTATTGGACTATGAATCTGGATATACTTTATGTCCGTATTCATAGTCGATAGGTCTCATCGTTACTATATTTTGAGTCGGAGGGAGTATTTTTGAAAGGATCCCTCCTGGTACTTCTGTTTTCACTGAAGAGGTTGGTACGTTTGCTAGCTAACTGCTGTGTGCAAAGGAATTGGATACGAGGTACTGGAATTCCGCTTTCCTGAAAGTATAGAAAAGGTGCGCATTATTGGAGGATAATCTATCTCGTATCTGTTTTTTTTTTTGGCAAAGAATACAAATATTGCCTTCATACGCCACTGAATTTTTCCCAAAAATGTAAGCTGATTCATCATTCATCCACCATATCCATGGTGTGCAAGAATGCAAAGCGCAGGGATGTCCCAATCTGTGACATGTGCAGGCACTAGCACATCAAACGCAAGCTTATCCAACTTAAAAAAAATGGACACTAACTCATAATATTTTTATTGAGTTCTTAAAAAAACTCATAATATCGCAACGAAACCCGGACGCTTTACATGTGCATCACGTTGGACCGCCGTGATCTTAGAAACAGGGCCAAAGTTCTTCTGTACAGTACTACCGGTCTACTCCACGGTGTCACTGTCACCCCAGAAACCTAGTAAAAGGGAAGAACTGCCTTGTTTTAGTTTAGTGCTATTCTAACTTTGTCATTTTTGTATTAAAAAAATTGTCATTTTTAGTAGCTATAGAAAGAATTTGGTTATTGCCAGAACTTTTGGCAAAAAAAAAAAAAAGATTAGCCCTTCGTTTCGTTACTACCAAAGCTATACGTTATAGAATCAAATAAGTCAAATAATTAGCAATGCCAATGTCTTAGCTAACCAAGCAGACGGCTAATATTTGGAAATTATCTATGAATTTACCTAGTTTCATCGTCCAAAAATAACTTCGTAGCAATACAAAGATAAAATAATAAGAATGTTTTCTACTTTGTTCATAGGGGTGAGGGTACGTTCGTTGTGAGTGTCTACGTTGTACTGTGTAATTAATACAAAGATAAAATAATAAGAATGTTTTCTACTTTGTTTATAGGGGTGAGGGTACGTTCGTGTGAGTGTCTACGTTGTACTGTGTAATTTTTTTTAAAAATATACTATATTAAAATTACAATTGATCCCACTGTATCGAGTTTAATTTATCCTTCATTTTTACTAACTTTTTTTTCTTGTCATGTAACAAATTTTACCTGCAGTATGTCGGAAGTCAATCGTCGATTCGTCGACACGGCCCAGAAAAAGGGCCCAGCCCACACGGGGTAGCCCGACCGGCACGTGTCGGCGGCAGGTGCGTCGACCACCTCCCAGCCGGTTTCCCGTCCAGGTTCTTCCCCCCGTCGTCCGTGCTCCATGCTCCAAGCCGCATCCGCGTCTCTCGTCACGCCCACACCACCACCCACCAACCCTCCCCTTCCGTCTTCATCAATAGTAGTACGCCTCCCCTAAAAACAAAACAAAGAGAAGTCCACCACACATCCCCCCCCCCCCTTCCCCTCCTCACCTTCCCTTCTCCGGTTCTCAGATTCCACCCAATCCGCCGCTGCGTCGCGTGTGCTGTTCGGCGAAATTCCAAGCCCCAATTCCCCACATCTCATGGTTCTCTCTCCCATCGCCTCCGCCGACGTCGACCGCCTCCTTTGCTGCTGTCGCCGGTGTTGTTGCTGTCGCCGGTGTTGTTGTTGTTGAGGGGGTAACGGTGGTGGTGGTGGTGGTGGTGAGGGGTTAGAGGGGCTAGGGTTGCGGATTTGCGGCCAATTGGTTGGGGGATTTCGAAGGGGGAATGGATCTCTCGCGGCCGGAATCGTCGGACCTGTCGCTGGGTTTCCACTCGCTCGGCCACGCCCGCGGGCACGCGGTCACGGGGCCGCTGCGGCTGTTCGATGACATGGAGGACGCCAAGCCGGAGAAGAGCGTCGGTGGCGGCGGAGGAGGAGGGGGAGGAGGAGGCGAGGAGGAGGATGGGGAGGAAGGGGGCGACCAGCACTTCTCCCTCCTCGGCCACGCGCTCTGCGTCAAGCGTCCACGCCGCGCGCTCTACGGAGGCGGAGGCGGAGGCGGGGCAGGAGGTGGAGGAGGAGGAGGAGGGGAGGCGTCCTCCTGCTCGTCTTCCTCCTCGTCGCTGCACCCGGCGAAGCGGCAGGCGACGGCGGAGCGCGGCGCGGATCTGGAGGCCCGCCGCGGCGCCGTCCGCGCGTGGGGCAACCAGGCGCTGGCGGAGGCCGACCCGGACGTGCACGCGCTGATGGAGCTCGAGCGCGACCGCCAGGTGCGCGGGATCGAGCTGATCGCGTCGGAGAACTTCGTCTGCCGCGCGGTGCTCGAGGCGCTCGGCAGCCACCTCACCAACAAGTACTCTGAGGGCCATCCCGGGGCTCGGTACTATGGCGGGAACCAGCACATCGACGGCATCGAGCGCCTCTGCCATGAGCGCGCCCTCGCCGCCTTCGGTCTCGACCCCGCCTGCTGGGGGGTCAACGTCCAGCCATACTCCTGCACCTCTGCAAACCTAGCTGTTTACACAGGTCTCCTCCTGCCCAAGGACCGTATCATGGGGCTCGAGCCGCCTTCCGGTGGCCATGTCAGCCACGGGTACTACACACCAAGTGGTAAGAAGGTGTCTGGAGCATCCATATTCTTCGAGAGCTTGTCGTACAAGGTGAATCCGCAGACTGGGTATATTGATTACGACAAGCTTGAGGAGCGGGCAATGGATTTCCACCCTAAGATTCTCATATGTGGTGGGAGCTCATACCCCAGGGAGTGGGATTTTGCACGGATGAGGCTCATTGCTGATAAGTGCGGTGCGGTGCTCATGTGCGATATGGCACATATCAGCGGGCTTGTTGCGGCCAAGGTAAATAACTACCATAAAGGATCATTTATTTATGTTGTATGAAATGTAGCAGAATTACTCAAATCACGACTGAAAAGCCTAGTTGTTAGTATGGTTTGCTGCTAGCTGCCCAGAAACGTGTTGAAGAAGAGTTTCAATCTTTGGCTACCTTCATTACCTGGCTATCTGTTAAGTCCTGTTGATTTGAACCATTCAACATCACAATGCAAGATTTTCTTTATCATGTTTCTAATGTGACGATTAGGCTGATACTATAGTCCTGATGAAACTATTTTGCAGTCAGTTATCAATGTATCGTATTCAAACTGAGTTTGAGCATAGTAATCATAGAACATTTTTATTTTTAGAGAACCTAAGGTTACATTTCTAGTCATGTTCACATAAGTTAAAGATAACTACTACAGAATTATATTTTCTGTGAGTCAACGTTGATCCATGCTAGTTCTGGGATTTTCCCCTGGTGATGGAAATCATGCTGATGAACTAAGTTACTAGCACATGTTATCGCTATTAACCACAATATTCAAACTGAGTTGATACTGTAGTCCTGAAGAAACTATTTTGCAGCTAGTTATGTATCATATTCAAACTGAGTTTGAACATAGTTTATCATAGAACATTTTGATCTTTAGGGAACCTAAGGCAGGAGTAACATTTCTAGTCATGTTTACATCTGTTAAAGATAACTATATAACTATATTTTCTGCGAGTCCACATCGATTCGTGCTAGCTTATGGGGTTTTCCCCTGGTGATGGAAATCATGCTGATGAACTAAGTTACTAGCATGTGTTATCGTTATTAACCGCAATATCTTATCAATATTCATTCCATTAAGAAACTGCAGTCTCCATGTACGTCTTACTGCTGTTTTAATATTAATACACAATATAATATTTTCAAAGCATTTTTCAATGTCATTTTTATATGGCAACTTGAGATAGTTTCACATATATGTTATGTCAAACTTTGAGAATGATGACTAGGTTATACATTTAGAAACATATAGAATAGCTTTTGTTAGAATTATCCTTAATCAGTTTGTTGCATTTTTCATGTTTGCTTAGATGCTACCTACACTTGCTACTCTTCAGAAATGTTTTATTTCCTTAATGTGTGGCATCATTGTGTGAAGCCGGGGGTCTGCCCCCTGAATCAAAATAAATAACTACAAAAGTTCTTAGTTGGTTCTACTGCTAAATCTAGCTAGTTCAATGTTCTTGATGTTCATATTGTAATAGTGATATTGTTGCATGCTCCTTACTGTTGCGAGATTCTTATTTATACAAGATGCTCATACTGTGGTTGCTGAGCATTTATTGACTACTGACAGTTTATTTCTTGTTAACTTTTGCAGGAATGCCGTAGTCCCTTTGATTACTGTGATGTGGTTACATCAACTACTCACAAGAATCTGAGAGGTCCTAGAGGTGGTATAATATTTTTCAGGAGAGGGAAAAACTTAAGGAGGCGTACTGGATCTTTTTCTCAAGCGGATGAGAATGATTATGACTTCGAGGACAGGATAAATTTTGCAGTTTTCCCTTCAATGCAAGGAGGACCCCATAATAATCATATTGCAGCCTTGGCGATAACTCTGAAGCAAGTAGCAACACCTGAATACAAAGCATACATCATACAAGTTAAGAAAAATGCCCAAGCTTTGGCATCAGCCTTACTCAGAAGAAAATGCAGATTGGTTACTGGTGGCACCGATAACCACTTGGTACTTTGGGACCTCAGAAATTTAGGCTTGACTGGTATAATTCTGCCTACTGTTTTCTTAATTAATCTGTTTGTAAACTTGTGATCAGGGGGTGTGTTAATTTCATAGTGGGTGCCTGGAAACTGAAATATCTCTGCTATGCTAATGTAGCTTAGCACTTAGTTTTTGGAAAAAAAGTCTATACGTACTTAGTTTTTCTTATTAAATTCTTACTAACTCTGACGTGTGTCATGCTATGAGTACATCTAGTTATGTTATAACTTCCATCTAGATAAACGAAACGGTTGATATCATCGTTTGTAAGAGTTTTGTAAAAAAAAATCCATTCTTTAATTGCTTAAAGTCATGTCTCTAGTACTATTGCTCTTTGACACTTTATTTCTACAATTTAGATGTGGAAATGCATGTGGTTTCTAATGTATTGTGTTCAAATTTTTACAGGAAAGAACTTTGAGAAGGTCTGTGAGGCATGCCACATCTCCATAAATAAGATGCCGATATATGGGGATAATGGCTCAATATCTCCTGGGGGTGTTCGGATTGGTTAGTGCATACACCATGGCTGTTTTTTCTTACTGTTTTGTCATTTCTACATAAAACATAGACTATTGTATTCTACTTACTGTCATGTTACATACAGGAACACCTGCAATGACTACTAGAGGTTGCTTGGAAGATGACTTTGAGGTGATCGCAGATTTCCTCATCAGAGCCACCCAAATAGCTAGTAATCTTATGAAAGAACATGGAAAAATGCAGAAGGAATTCCTGAGAGGCCTACAGAACAATAAAGATATCATAGAACTCCGTAACCAGGTTGAGAATTTTGCATCGCAGTTTGCAATGCCAGGTTTTGATGTATGAGTGTGCATGTATGTGTACATATCTTGGTGAGGTTGTCCAGATTCATCAGGAATTAGCAACCGTTTCACTCTTTGCCGAAGTGTTTCTTTCAACAGGAGCAGAATAGGGAAAGATCGTTTTTTCTTTTGTTGGAAATTGGTCTTGACTGAAGCTGTACATGCATACTTCTGAGTTGTCATTTATGTAACGTATTGAACCTTCATATAACGGCTTTGTATAGGAGATAATTTTCCTCCATGCGTAAGGATCTTAAATCTATTTTGTGTTTATGTCTAGCCTGAACTGTATTGATCCAGATGTTACAGGGTAGTTGTGATATCAGTAGCTGACTTACGTGCGCCCTGCCTGCATGTTGTTGTTGATAACCAGAAGCCCTGAACAACCAAGACATTACAGTGAGACTAGTAGTAACACTATCAGTATAGCACTGACGCATTGACAATAATGGCTGTCAAGATCTGACTATTTGTTGTACTGGAGTACTCCTACTCGCTAAACGCTGTAAGCCAAGCACAGTGCAGGTTGCATCATGGTACTCCCCTGTTCGCTGTATAGGGAGAAACCCATCATGAAGATTTGGTATAGCTGGCATGTTAGGTAGGAGTAGGAGTAGGAGTAGTAGCAGCCTAATTCCGGTTGCAGCTGAGATGGGTTATCATCTCCTCTTTTGACCCTTGCCTGCCGCCTCCCTCGCTCGGTTTTGTTTTTGCCCGTACTTGACCATTGATACGCTTCTTTTCGGCCATGATTTGCTTCGCTCCGGTTTGTTGCCGATCCATGGACATCACATCGGTTTGCTCCGTTTTTCCTCCGTGCAAATGATGGTGTGCGGCGTCCGATCCATCGATCGATCGCCCGATCCGGGGGGCTTAAGGCGAAGAAAGCCACGACACAGGTCCTTTTCTTCAATGCGGAGCAGAAAGCGGCGCAGCTTCCAGCTGCCGTTCCAGAACCCCTTTAATCATTGCGACCATCTGCTCTGCTTCTTGGGACATCAATCCAATCAGACAAACACCAAAAGCCGGAGGAGTAGACTAGCAGGTCGCAGCTGCAGTCGCAGTGTGTGTTGTGTTTTACACTGATGGTGTTCAGTTGCTCATCTCTCTGACTCTCAATCACTCCTCCCGAATCCCTTTTATCTTTCTGGGTGTGTTTAGTTCACGCCAAAATTGAAGGTTGGTTGAAATTGAAATGATGCGACGGAAAAGTTGGAAGTTTGTATGTGTAGGAAAGTTTTAGTGTGATGAAAAAGTTGGAAGTTTGAAGGAGTTTGAAACTAAACTCGGCCTCTGTCTAGCATCTCTCCTGATTAGAGACAATGAAACATTAGTTAAGCTTTCCTTTTGTTGCCTTTTCTTTTCTCATTGAGGGGGATATAAGGAATCTAAACCCCTTTTCTCCCCCTATTCTTGTTCTAGTGGAGTCCTTAATGATGACTTATGAGGAAGTGAGCTCGCCACTACCAGTAAAGAACTGATCACTAGGTATAAGGGACAAAAACAATTGAGAGAGAAAAGAGGGCGAGATCTTGGCATTTCACACTTCCTTTTAAGGTCTTCTCGTTTCTCAGTATCAAGTTTCACAGTGATTGATTAATCACCTAACCTAGAAAAAGAAGTTGCTGATAGCAAATGGATGTGTCTTAGCATAGATTCATCAGTCATCACAAGGGCTTTTTAAGGTTTTTGGTTCAAGCCTATCCCAATTCATGATAGCTGACAGTTCTAATATGAACAAGAGACAATTAGACATACTCACATACCATGTCATTTTAGTATCTATTTTAAAATGAGAGACATAATAAATTACTCCCTCCTTTATAAATTGATCATCATATAATAGAATCTAAAATTTCTCAAATTGATCATTGTATAACTATATGGACAAGGATTTTATAGGAATACAATTAATGCAGTATGAGAGAACGTGTGCGTGCTAGGGTATACTCTTAATTGACATGGAGTTTTAATCGATGCATACATTATGAGAGAATGTATGCATAATATCTTTATTGATGTGATTTAAATTATACTTAGTTTTGGTGTATAAACTTATACGATGATCAATTTATAAAGGAGAAAGTAGTATGGTAGACGTAATTCTCATGCAGATGCTTCATGCTTCCCATGAGAAAGAAAGAATGGGACTCTTGATGCTGAAGCTGGAAGCTACGGTCTACTGGGCGTAGGAGAGAACCAAAGTTTCGGCCATTTTTCGCATTATGGTAGAACTCTGATAGTAGCCCGACCTACGGCACGTCTGCCTCCCCAGGCGAACAAACAAAAGGCGACCCCTTCCGTCGTGCAACTGCAACTGCCTGTGCTACTCCTGCAATGCAACAAGAAAGATTTCCTTTCTCTCTCATCCCCATCATGCCTCTCCTTTCATGGCACCTTTCATGGCAGAGACGCAGCAACAGGATGGAAACAACAGCAGCAGCAGCAACAACAACATCATGAGCAAAATGCTGTGACAGCGACACACTCTGTCTCATCGAGTACCACTAACTACTACTCGTACTCGCTACTGAAGATTATGCTTGCTACTACTACGTACAGTACGAGTACTCTACCACGCGAAGCATGAAGCATTTCATGCCATCATCCATGGCGATGATGATGGTGTTGCAGTCGATCGATCAGTGGCTGCAAAGGTCGGAGAGCTCCTTCCTGCCCTCGACAATGTCGTCGAGGAAGTCGTCGAGCTGGCAGACGAGGCCGTCGGTGCCGGTCCGGAGCACGTCGAGCCACGCCTTGAGCTCGTCGACCTTGTCCTTGACGCCGCCGTCGCCGTCCTCGCACTGCTGCTTGCGGGGGCCCGCCGCCACGGCGCGCTCCACCTCCTCGTGCGCCGCCTCCACGGCGGCGCGCGCGCACCGGAACTCGTACATCCGGATGCCCCCCCGCGCCGCGCCGGCGCTACCGTCGGCGTCGGCCTCCTCCGCCATCCTCTGCTGCAGCATTGCGATGGACGCCACGAACCCGCCGGCGTCCGCGGCGCCATCCGCGGAGCACGGCCCCGCTGCGGCGGCGGCGCAGGAGACGGCGCCGGAGGCGAGGACGAGGAGCAGCAGCGAGCTGGCGTTGTGCAGCGCGTAGAGCAGGCCGCGGAAGCCGTTGAAGCCGCTCAACCTGGCGTCCGCGGCGCGCAGCAGCAGCCGCTCGTCGAGCTGCAGCGACAGCGGCGCGATCCTCGCCTCCGACAGCGCACGGTTCTCCTCCTCCGCCGCCATGGCCTCCCTCCTCGACGCAGAGATCGCCCTCATCACCTGCACCGATCAAACAAATCTCCATAAACACAAAAAAACAGAGCATCCAACAAAGAACACATAGTAGCGATCAATCGATCAAACACACAAACAGAGCAAGAACCACTAATGGCGTGTCGCAGCACAGAAACAAACACGTTTCGCAACCAACCAACCTGGCGAGTGGAGAGAGGGGAAGGGTCCTGGAGCCAGTCATCCATGGCGGCCGCAGCACAAGACGCGGCAGCGCAATACCGCTCGACGGCGGCAAGGCCGACCTTGACGGCGAGGCAAGCCTCCCAGAGCCGCGCGGTCTCGTCCATGTACTCGTCGAGCCACCGCCCACCGGGCGGCAGGTGGAGCTGCCCCACCAGCAGCGTGAGCTGCGAGTGCAGCCCCCTGAGCAGCGCCGCCGCCCGCAGCAGCGCCGGCAGCGACGACAGCCCGCCGCCGCTGCTCAGGTCGTCCAGCCCTCTCGCCAGCGACGTGAAGAAGGCGTTCATGGCGAAATCCCCACAGCAAGAAAGATCGAACACCGGTCGATCGATGCGTCTGGAAGGTCGAGCTCCGGCTGGCTATATATAGCGCGCGGTGCAAGAAGGGCAAGGAGGAGACGATCGGGGAGGAGGAGGAGGAGGCGGGGGGCGTGGAGGGGCAATGATGGGTGTCTAGACGAGGGGGAGAAGGGTGATGATGAGGTTGGGGGGAGGCAGAGGCACAGCCATGGCTGATGTCTCGCTCGCTCGCTCGCTGCTGCTCGCTGTGCTGTGTGCGGTGCTCTGGTCTGGTCTGTGGCTCCGCGCGCGGCGTACGAGCGGGGCGCGTTTAATGGCTGCCTCCTCGCGACACCGCGCGTTGCCGGGTTTCCGGAGGAGGTTAGGCTTAACCGCCGTCTTTCTTCGGTTTCACTGCGGATGTTGTGGGAAACAATTTTAATTTCTAGAGGGCATCCTCGTATTTTTAAAACACAACAGAAACATAGGTAATCATAAAACACGCATACTCATCGCTATAAATAAACACGCACACAATACATCTATAAACATTTTTTAAAAAAGTTACTGTATATACGATTATGTAGCGTTACACAACCAAATCCCATGGTATTTTCTAGCCGTTTCTAACGAAGTAACACGTGACATTCACTATCTGTTAGCAATCGTATAATTATCGTACATATAAATCGTATACATAGCATTTTCGATTTTTGAAACACTAGACCGACATATCCTCGTCAATCATGAACGTCTCACTATCGATGATTACGTCGCCTGCACCGAAAGAATATCACCCATCTTAAGCCTAGAACTTTAATGGGTGATTTGGTTCCGTCACAAGAAAACTAACTAGTTAAACTACGTTTAGTTCGCTAGTTATTTACATATTATCAAAATAATTAGGAAAAGTATAAAAATTTAACGAGATCAAACTCCATAAGCCTACAATATTAATCAAGTTAAATTTTAGAGTGGCATATCACATATTAATATATCTTGTCAGTTTTAAAAAATATTTTATAATGCAAACATAATGTTACTAGTAGAGTTCAAGATCCATTCCCCATGTGTTTTTAGCCATTTCTAGCGCGTACCGCAGGGGGGCGTTGGTGGGGGAGGTTGTTGCTCCATGGGGTGGCCCGCCTACGGTAGGGGGGAAAAACATACCTACCAGATTATCAGCTTTTGGTGAAATTTCTCCACCGGAATATTGCGCTTTCTGCATAGTTCAGCGGTCAAAATGGCATGGCATGGAACGTCCAGTCCTTGACTACGGAAACAAAACAATCGAGCACTAGAAACAGTCTTGGAGAGGGACTTGGTCGTGTGTGGTTTGTATGGTTCACTGAACTTGGAGAGTATAGTAGTAGTAGACTTTTTTTTTTGGCATTGAATATTTGCAAATAGTTCAGCTGCTCTAGCGATGCCATTGAGTGGTTATGTTGGCTAAAATGTCAAACCAACTGCACATTGTAGCCACCTCTAGTTACAGTTACCAAGGATTCTCTCATCCATCCTTTAGATTTTTTTGTTATTCTTTCAACATTTGTTCATTTAAAAATTTGAAAATAAATCGTCCATACCAACCAAATTTAAGGCCAAATGTCATGCCAAAGAATTTTTGTAGCGCAAAAAGCCAAGATGTGGCGATGGTGATTTACTATACTATTGTGGAGTAACCAAATCATTACCACACCATAGTTTTTAACCCATGTGGTAACATTGTCTTGTCATGCCACTAAATATTGTCACTTTGATTATGTTGCCACCTACTGACTTGACTCTTAGCATCTGCAGCCCCATCGTTTGGCTTTTTCCCTATAAAAATAAATTTATATTTTATATATGTGTTATTGGTGGCCTAAAAGCTAATACTGAAAAAGAAACTATAATAAAAAAAATCTCAAAATTAAGTTTAAAAATTTAAAAATTGCCTTTTTTTGGCTGATTAGGCCATCCGATAGGAGCCTATTTGTTGGTTTGCGCAGCCAAGATTTAAATTTTAAACTTAATTTTAAGTTGAATTTGGGATGTTTTCTATCATTGTCTATTTTTCAATACCGTCTTTTAGTCTGTGAATAACATAATTTTTATCTATAAATCATTTCTGATTGCTTCGTTCATACTTCTATAACAACCAATGGCATGGACCAGGATAACAAATAAGCAAAAGCCACTATATGAAGCGGCAAAATAGAAATATCCTTTTTAACATTATACAAAAACATCAATTTTTTTTAAAAAGGCTCTTTTCCATAGAGGAAAAATATATTATTGCTGTGAGGAATATAGAGTTTTCAGTTCTCTCAGTAAAAAAAACTGTTTTTCTATAGCTTGGTAGGATTAACTTATTTTAGCCACAGGGACAGATATGATGAGTGATGGTGCAATTTAATTAATGAGTTAATTTTACTTTGGGCTATGTTTTATTGCCAAAGTTTTATTTTGGACCACCATTTATCTAATCTTTTCACTTTGGACTAGGTAACTTTACCTTTGTCGCATAATGGACCACCCCAAAACACATTTTCATTTCTTCGATGACTTCGAGCAAATTGTTAACGACATACCAGCAAACTTTCATATCTATATGCATGATATACTTTGTCGAAAGAGACGCTAGACATCACAAGCGAAAAGAGTTAGGGTTGTCCATTGTGCAACAAAGATAAAGTTAACTAGTTCAAAGTGAAAAGATTACGTACAGGGTGGTACAAAATAAAACTTTGATAATAAAGTACAATTCAGTCTTAATCTTATTTGTCACAACAACGCAGATAGTACAAAGTAGAGGCAACTTGTTCTGCTTGCGAATTGTGAACTGCATCAGTATTCTGCCTGGTACTACAAATATCATCAGAAAAAGCAGTTTCCTTTTTGTAGGTTGTGGATCACGCTCCGACAACACAGCGTAGGGTTAAATTAAGCTATGCGATATTTAGTACCATCAATCCCATCAGTCCATTTGACATCCCAAGCATGCGTTATTCGATTCAATCTTATACCTCCCTTTCCTCCCCCTTTATTCCCTTTCCAACTCAGAGATGCAAATCTTATCCTGCCAAAGCCACTACATATCATAGCTCACTCGAATTCTCTTCTACAGTTCATCCCAACTCCCATTAGCAAGGAGCTAAAGATCTTCACTACTTTTACACCAACGAAAAACAATTATACTCATTCTGTATCTTCAGACAAGATCACAAGAGTCCAGAGACATCTAGTCGAAATTATTGCAATACACGAACAGTTACCTAGGTAAGGCTATTTTGTACTTTTATAGAATTCCAGTAGAAAACATCCTGAGCTTTAAATCATGCACTATTCTCCTGTTTATTCGGGTTGTCAAATTGACCCCTTTTTTGTTTCCCCTCCTTTACATGAACAGTGGCTAATACTTCCTCCGTCTCAGATTACAAGACGTTTTAACTTTAGTCAAAGTCGATCAAATTGTTTCAAGTTTGATTAAGTTTATAAATAAATATAGTAATATTTATAATACTAAATTAGTTTCATCAAATCAATAATTAAATATATTTTCATAATAAATTTGTCTTGAGTTGAAAATGTTACTATTTTTTTCTATAAATTTGATTAAGTTTAAAGCAGTTTGATTTTGACCAAACTCAAAACTTCTTATAACATGAAATGGAGCGAGTAGCAAATTAACTGGCGCCATTGTGTGGCATGATTTCAGCGTTGTCTGCTTGCCATTTGGCCGTCTCAGTAAGTTTCAGACGAAGAGTTAACTGTCAGGGCTAGTGTACTCAGATCACCACTCCCTGCTCAGAGAGGGACAATTACCCGACATGCATGGGATTAGCATGGTTTTCGGTCTGAGCAGCGAACTTCTTGTGATGCGCCTTTGCGCCTTTGTGTTCCCATCTTGTCAAGCACTGAAAGATGATCAATCCTAATCCTGCTCTTTGTGCGCGTAAAGCCTGTGGAGACACGGCAAAACAGCCTCGTCGAGCAGGGACATGAATGATGATACCAGCCATGGAAGGTGGTCATGGCAGCTCCCAAGCAAGAGGACAAAAACGGAAGGCTTTTTCTTCAGAAATGAGAACTCTGAACTCTGAATGTCTGAATGGAACTTCTTTGTATGCTGCATAATTTCTTTTGGAAACATCTGAAAGCAGGGTTGTGGTTAATTAAAAAACCGGTCTACTAGACCATGAACATGGAACAGGAGCCCCTAGCTACTATGCTTACCGTAAACGCATGCAAGAAACACTTTTGTATTGTCACCTGCTGTAATGAGACATCTTTGCAATAACTACAGCAATTTGAGCTAAAATTGGTCAACACTATCATGCTTAGGGTCCCCAAATTAAACTGCACTTTTGACTAAGAATTGGCAGAAGCTAGCGGCAGCAAATTGTTCCTTTCCATTGGACATATTCCCCAACTCATTATTTAACGACGCTTTTCCATTCCACTTGATACGCTAGAAGAACCGTGTGGTTTATCATATCTGCAAACCAAACGGATGCAATCGCTAATCACATGGATAAATCTTCGCAAAAGGGAGAGATTTCGGGTGTGTGCGTGCGCATGCGTTGTTAGAGCTGCTACTCGTGGGATCTTGGAGAATGTGATGCTTGTAGAAAGAAACAGTTAAGGGGTATAAACAAATGCTGGAGAAGCAAACAGGATCCTAAACCGTGATCTCGCGTAATCTAATCACGGTCTATTGTATCGCCAACATGTGATAGGTGTCTAGAAGCTTGCATTTTAATACTACCGGCAAAGCTTGATTTGCCTCTGCTAATGTGATCCAAACATGATAAACCGGTTTTGTATCCATCCCTGAATTAGGTATTCTCTTGCCTTCTGACAGTGTGATCCAAACATGATTATCCGGTCTGTATCCATCCCCGAATTAGGTACTGTCAAATACAGTGAATACACTATTGTCATGTGTATGCATTCTGAATATAAAATAGCCCAAAATGTCATGTGTGACCAAGTTTTTTATGAAGAACACATGAGCAAATCAGCGTGCATTATACAGTGGAGTACACTTAATCCTGCATTTATTTTGTTTGCTAAGGAGACAGGGAGACGATGGAGTTGGAAGGCATGAGATTTGCGCTGCACCAACCCACATGGATGAAGGATTCAAGGGGGACAAAGACTGCTGCTGAGCCTCTTGAGTGAGTCCCATCATGGTCACTCATGGCAGTAATTATGGCCGCAATTATGCCTGCCCAAAAGCCCACAGGGCGGGCAGGGCCAAATGCAAGTATGCAACCGACCCTAATGGAGGGGATTAGCAATAATTTCCTCGTTTGATGCTTTTGACCACCGATGATATCAGCACTAATCACAGGGGTGGATTGTACACAACACACTACACAAAGGC